GTGTCTTTAATATCATAGATAACAAAGCCTTTAATATGTCTATGGAATATACCGTATATCCAGTGTTGTAACAGTTACAATATTTTCAGTAAGGCTGGGAATCGATTACGAATAATTCGAATATTCGAATATTCGAGTATTCGAATAGGGGTGGAAATCGATTATAAATTATTCGAATATTCGAATACTCGAATATTCAAACATTCGAATACTTGAATATTTGAATACTCGAATATTCGAATACTCGAATATTTGAATACTCGCATATTTGAATACTCGAATATTAAAACACTTTAAATTAGTATATATAAGGGTGGTGCAAAAAAACTTTTTTCGAATATGTTAATTTGTCATTTTTATTAAAAAAAATTAACAGCTCTCTTCAAAAATTAGTCGGCTTTTGAATTTTGAAAATTCCAAAAATAATCAAATTCGAAAAAAGCGATATATGTAGTCGCTTCGTTTTGGACAGTAGCAAAAAGTAATCAGTAATTACTATATGTTTAATTGGTAAATTCTCATATAACTTGTTTCGATGCTGTATCCACTTATTTTTGTGAAAACTAATTCTCGCTCAAGGTTTTTTTTAGTGTAATGAGCATGTAGCATTTTAAGGTAATGGGAACTTAAATTATGACAACCCTAATCTATTAATTTTTTCCTAAAATGCAGGCTTTATGTTGCAAATGTCACGTAAGTTACCGGTCTTCAACTGCAATATCCTAACATTGATGAATATTTTAACAAAATGGCTGTTGAAACAACTAATGTTAGTGCTTGATTAACTAAAAATAGACTTAAGATTGACGAAAAATTATTTTATCCGGAATCGGCAGTAAAGTAGAACTTTACTGCCGATTTATTTTAATTTACGATTGTTGATTAATTGAAATATTTTAATATTCGAGTATTTAAAAATTCGATTATTTGAATATTTAAAAATGTACTCTATATTCGAATTATTCGAATGTACGAGGACATGAATCACAGATTATAAAGACATGAATATTCGAATTATTCGAATTTACGAGAACACGAATATTCGAATAATTCGAATACTCGAATATTCGAATAATTCGAATACACGAATATTCGAATAATTCGAATACTCGAATATTCGAATAATTCGAATATTCGAATAATTCGAGTATTTCAAATAATTTTTAAACGAGTATTCGAATTCCAAAAACTAACAAATTCCCAGCCTTAATTTTCAGTATCTAGCTACAGTTACATTTACTTACCAAAATTTGTAACTAGATACAGATACAGATACATATTTTATTGCAATAACTAGTTACAGATACAGTAACCTTCAAATAGTATCTAGATACTTTAAGATACATCCCAGCAAGCACAAACATCCTCAGGACGTCCTTGGACCAGCCTAAATGTCCCAGAATGGGATGATCCTATAAGGACTTCCTGAGGACGTCCATAGGTTGACCTTATCGGACATTAGATCGGACATTTGGGATATCCTAGGAACGTCATTTAAGGATGTCGTTAGGACCTAATAATATCCTAATTAAAGCCTAAAATGGGCTGATCATAGGACTAATCCCAGAGACATCCTCAGAATGTCCCGTTAGGTTTTGGTAAACATTTGGTATGCACATTTTTCTATAAGAATATTTTATCCATATAATTAATAATAGGTACCTACATTTTATACTTAACTTATTTTGCATAGGCACATCTTAAAAATGTCAATCAAAATAATAATAATATTATATTATATAGATTTTTTTAAGTTTATAAACGACTTGTATACTATATTTTTTCTACGACAATCACAAAAATTAAATAACTTTCAACAATTATATAGATATAAATAATTATTTATAAAATCTGACATCGACCAGTCTATTTTAACCTCACTTTTTAGACCCTTTATTTTGATGGTCATTGTTTCGCAGTTGACAACTGCAATTAACCCATGACTAAAAAGTCCGTCCAACTTCAGCCCGTGACTAAAACGCCATAAAGCCTCAACTTGTCAATGGAATAAATAAAAATATCATGGAAACATGTACGATAATCAGCGTTTTAAAGGCGGGAGTTTAAAAACAATATTATATTTTGTGTATTTGTTATATGACCACAAAATATATTTTGTATACAACTGGATAGCAGCCAACTTAATACGCGTGCGCAGAAATGACGGCTGGTAATTAATAATTGTTCAAACACCTTGTTTGTAAGGTATTGATACATTTAGAGTTTTATAAATAATAAATAAGTTAGTAAGAGTCAGTTAACCTTAAAAATGTAATTACAATCGCAATCTATAACTTATTTAATAGTTTGTGTTACCGATTGTTTTAAATTTGCCGCCATACGTTATGGTGGTAATCATTGTCTATGGTGGTAACACTGGATGGAGAGAAAGCTAAGATGACGTATAGCGTCCTTTAGTTGCAGAGATATCTCTGTTTAGTTGTTTGGTGCCTTTTTGTTAGAAAGAATCATAGATAACACTGTGAAAGGAATTCTTTTTTCTGTGTCGTGAACCTGGTTTAAGACCGTGAATCTCGTGTTCTCCAAGTGTGTTTGTTATAATATAATATTATTATAGTGTTCTTAACCGACTTTGTAGCTGCAATAATAATGGAGTTAAAATGGTGAGCAGATAACTTTGGACACTGTATATATAAATAATATAACTATTATATTTATTTAGAATTATTATTTATTTTACTTTTATAATAGGTGTTTATTTTTTATTTTATATAATTATATATAAGTATGTATACAGAATTGAAATAATATATTTTATAAAGTAATAAAATGGTATTTGATTGTTTAAAATGTATCCCCAACAAATAACAAGGCCATTCAGAGGATGGACCTACATATACCTATGGGACTTTCAGGGGACATCCTTAGGATGGCCTATTCCTGGACCTATATGGACCTAGGGATATCCCTAGGTTATCCTAAAGGCCATTTGCGGGACGTCTGTAGGCTGGCCTTTTTTGCACCACTCGGCCATGGTTGGGATGTCCTGAGGAGGTCTGAGGACGTCCTAGGATATCCTTGGGATATCCCAATATCCTGTAAGGCTTTCCTTAGGACGTCCTTAGGACAGACTTGTGCTAGCTGGGATACAAATTATATTTTGCTTTAAAAATTAAAAATAGAAATAAAAGGGAATTTTTAAAACAAGTACTTATTTTTATATATATATATATATATATATATATATATATATATATATATATACATATATATATATATATACACATATGTCCAAAAGTTTGGAATATTGCAATATTTCTTTTTTTATTGATATTTATATATATTTTTTTTATATAGGTAAATACCATTTTATAACGACTCCGACCAATAATAAATAAACCTCAAAGACAGAGAAAATAGAGTAAATATTAACAACAGTTTTTTTAAACTACCACAGGCGTAGATATATTATTTGTAAGTATTCCAAACTTTTGGACATGTGTGTATATATAATACTTATTTTTGTAACAAGATTCTTTAAATTTAAATTGTAAACAAACTTTAACTGTCAAAAGTGCAGATTACAGAAAACTGTATCTACCACGGTTTTTAAAACCTTTTATAACCAGTTTAGTATATTTCTTTACTCAACGGAAGTAAATTCGTTAAAAAATAATAATAATAATATCATGATATACTGCAGTATGACCATATATTATATGGACATACTGTTGGATGCGTTCAGAAATTAAAAATTGTGTCAGAAGTGGAAGTTGACGTGTTTTTCTTGTCTCAATAAGTAATAGTCGCAGTTTAATTAAAAATGTATATTTGTATCTTAACACACCTAGTTACTTAGAATGTGTAACTAGTTACAGTTATAGTTACTAGATTGGGATAAGTAACTAGTTACAAAAACAGTTACATAAAAAGTATCTAGATACTGTATCTAGTTACTTGTAACTAGATACATTACAACACTGCGTATATCATACCACGTTTAAACTCATTTACCCAACTTTAAATTCTGGTGTACCTAGATGTACCATGAACATTTAACTTTTGGTGTTTAAACAATTGGGCTTCAAACAAAAGTGTTTTCCAACAAAAGATAGGTTTTAAACGGTTTTAAACAACATGAGCACAAAGTCGCAGAAGTTATATACACAGGTAATTTATTTTGTGCATGAGTGGAAATAAATCCAATATGGCATCCTCCTCCCTAACATGGAAGTTGAAAACAATAATCTTAATAACATTTTTAAAAATCTCCTAAATGTTTACCCAATTAATATTTTTACCTATTTAATATTTACAAAATTTCCATTTTTGTAAAAATTTACGAAATTGAATTTTTTTATAAATTTAACACTTTTAAAAACTTCCAAAATTACCAGAATTTTTAAAATTAACCATTTTTTTTAAATTACAAAGAGTAACTATAGTTACTATTTGTAATTTAAAAAAAAGTCGGTAAAGTTATAACTAATCAGTAATTAGTTAGTAACTATTCAGTAACTCATTAGTAACTAGTCAGTAACTAATCAGTTAGGTAACTAATTAGCATAAATTTGTAACAGAAATTAATTAAATATAGAAATTAATGATATAATAACGCAACTATATACGAGTATACCTACTCTAAAACTCAATTCCCGTCATCTCCTTCTAAAGAAATGCTTCACAAGTTTTGCTTCAATAGTGGGCTTATAATTTTTTTTATTGTCCAAGAATATCAAAAGTTGTTAGCTTAAATCTATTGCAATAAAGAAAGCACGCAATGAATATGGCTGAAACTTTGACAGTAGACTACTGACAGATTGTACCTACTTGTCATAAACATGTGTGCTACTACTAGCGCCATCTCATGGATTTTCTAAATACTTGATTTTCTAAGCACCTACCCTCGTATTAGAAAAATACAATAATTTGTATTGCCTGTATTGGAATCATTATTGTAATCTGTATAATTAACTACCTATAATTTTTCGGGTGATTCCAAAATGATAATCTTTCTACTGCTACTATAGTATACATACCACTGGATAAAATGATGCCCAAATTTTCACCAGGTTTTTTCTTCAAATGGACAGCAGTCATAAAATAGCTAGGGGCGCCATTTTCGCTATCAGAATGTTTTCCGGAATCATCGGAAAAACTGGGAGACTTAGATTTCAAATCTGCAAACAAAATAATTACGTCAAACTACTTCCAAACTTAGTTTACAACTGGAGCAGTGCATTTAATCAAATTTAAAAATATTAAAGTTTAAACTTCACAAACTGAATTTACTTTGCAGAAAGAAACAAAGCAATATACCACTCAATAAATTCCTTTAATATCTTAATTAAAAAGAACTTGAGTTAATTAAAGGCACGACTATTTTTAGCGCCCAAATCCTAATGAGATCTTCATATAAGTAAACTTGCATAGGATGCACTTGAATGATGGTAGTATATAGTAAATGAAAAAGATTTATATGTGATAACGTGAAGTATACGTCTGTTTTATGAATCAAATTTTAATTGGGCTTTTTGATGTAATTATTAAAGAAAAAAACTCATTTTATGTACGTAATTTTAAAAACACATGTTAGAAATAGTAAACATTAAATTTTCTTCTAGTCTAAACAAATTTGTAAACCAACACTATTTTATGCTTTTTAAGTTTTGTATATAAACTTTTTTTTACTCTCACCTTTAAAACGCCCATTATCGTACATGATTTACAGTTTTACAGTAATTGTCGTAAATAAGATAAGATACTATTCAACTCGTTTAAAAACTATTCTAGACACTCATTTTATTAAACACTTGCTCGCAAGCTTCGCTCATGCCTAATTAAAAATCGTGACTAAACTTGATACATAGGTAATATATTATTTTACATTTGTTCTAAATTTTTAACATTTAAAATAGTTAAGCCGGCAACGTTACAAATGCTCTCAAAACAAGAGAAAACCGCCTGAAACGGTTTGGTGAGTGAACCTACTTGACAGACTTATCGCGTCGTTTGCCACTTTTAGACTAAGACGACGCTAAATCCCCTTTTCGAAATAAGTAAAAATAAACTGGCAAAGAATTGCCCGTAAGAAACTTACGTCTCATTATATACCAGTACTTACGGTCACATTTACAACTCTCAACATGACTCACAAAGAACCATTAATAATGAGTTCGAAATAGATTTTTCTCATTGGACACACTTAGGTTGAGTAACTTGTCACAATTAGTCAGTTATTAGGTTTTATGATTTTGTCATTGTAAATATTAAGTTTATTTTACTAGATTGGAAATAAGTTAGGTTAAAACCGTCTGACAGTTTTTAGATAAAGTGTCAAATAAAATTGGCCTTAAATTCTGAAAATGCCCCCACAGACTTATTTTTCATCTGTTTGTTTCGTCACGATTAAGAATGAATTGTCAAAAACGCCCAAAAACGACACACATTAAAAAAATATTTGTTAATTTAAAAAATATATTAACCAGATTTCATGTTATTCCAAGTCCACTTAACTGTATAGTAACTAATTAAATAAATAGTTTGTAATTATAAGTTATAATTACAAACTATTTATTTAATTAGTTAATATACCTACAGTTAAGTGGACCTGGAATAACATGAAATCTGGTTAATATATTTTTTAAATTAACAAATATTTTTGGACCTGGAATAACATGAAATAATTTATGAAAAACATAAAATCTTATATCAATATTATTGATTCAATAATCGAACCATAATTCTTGTAACTATTAAATCCGCCCTCAATGGTGTAGTAGTCAGTGCTGCGGACTACAAGTCGAGTGGTCGTGGGTTCGAATCCCACATGAGTATGGCTATTTATTTGGGTTTGTCAAGGGTTAAGTGGTAGAACAGCTTATGCTGAACTTCGCCCTTTGATCAATGATCAAAAATTTAAAAAAAAATAAATAAATAAATAATCTGTAACATTTGAAATTAACAAAATGCTTACAAACTTGCATATTACCTTAGCAAAACTTTTGGAAAAATATTTCCCTTTGTTATAGTATATTAAAGAACTCTAAAGAATTCTTTTCAACTTATACATTAATGATATAGTTTATCATGTACAAAAATGTAAATTGTGCATGTTTGCAGACGATACCATGATATATATTACAGGTAATAATTTAGATAATATGTTTCAATGTATTAATGATGATCTTAAATCATTATATGATTGGCTTTGTGATAACAATTTATGTTTAAATTTGAGTAAATCTAAATATATGTTAATAGGAAAAAAATTTGCTATTTCAAAGCTTAGAAATCTCACACATGAAGTTAAAATAGATAATATTGTAATTGAAAAAGTTCATGAAATTAAATACCTGGGTGTAAACATAGATGAAAATCTTAGTTTTAAAAGCCATGCCTTGCTAATAATGAATAAAATGTCCAAAAAAATTAACTTTATGAGAAGAATAGGTAATTATCTAAGTATGTCAACTAAAATCCTGTTGTATAAATCCATTATAGCGCCACACTTGGATTATTGTGCCTCTATATTATTTATTTTAAATAAAAACGAAAAGGAACAATTCCAAGTTTTACAAAATAAAGCTATGAGGTCAATCTTGCATTGTAACAGATATACTCCAATTAATATTATGTTGGAAGTCGTCAATTTTATGAATGTTAACCAAAGACTCTTATACCGTACTCTTGATTTAGTTTATAAAATAAAAAATAAAATGACACCATTGTATTTATATAGCAAATTAATATTTGTTAATAATGTTCATGAATATAACACGAGAACAGCAAGTGATTTTTATGTGGATACAGCAAGTGGTTGTGCTCTTTATAGAACAATATTCTAAAATGGTCTAATTTTGTTTAATAACTTACCTGTGATAATTAAAAGTGAGTCAAATTATAGTAAATTTAAAAGGGCACTATCATTTTATGTACACACAAACGTTTGATTTTGGATTGTGATAATAAGTATATTTATATATAAAATGTAACATTTATAGCATTCGCTAATAAACGATTTATTTATTTATTTATTAACTAATGTCATAAGACGTCATTTTGTCGCACGAGAAGAACATAGATAACCGAAGGAGAATTTATAAAACGAGCGACGAAGAAGCCCGTTTTGTAATAGACGAGTGCGACAAAAGGTCTTATGACATGAGTTCTTTATGCTATTTTATCTATTTTGCAAAAATTCTATAAAAAAAATAATTTTCTCGATTTTTATGTAAGAATGTCATATTCTCGCACGCAAAATCGTTGAAGAATGAAGCTCATTCTTAAACGATTTTTGGTAACATTTAGTTTTTAAGTATTGGTACCCCCAAAATGTCAAACTGATTAATAACCTCAAATTCATTACTTTTATTGAAAATGAAGCCTTTATTATTGTTTTGTAATATAAAGTTTGCTCCAACAATGCATTTTAATGCAAAATTTTAAGTTTAATGTGTAAAAGTGCAGTTCAGGTTGTACTTGTGCAGGATAACAAATATTGTCATTTTGTGTTGCCAACTGACATTTTGCGAGAAAAATCCCCTAACTAACAACGACCACAAAACAATTAAAAAAACCTAAATAAAAGTTAAAATCGAGAAAATAGTATAAATCACACGTTGCAGAAGGCTATTCTCGCACTCATTCTTTCGTCCACTCGCTCCTTCGTCGCTCGAGGCCAAATTTCGAATTCGTGCGAGAATATGTGGCCTTCTGCAACTTGTACTTTAATATACTATTATACCTTATATTTAATTTGGTCAAATTTTACTTTAGATAGTTGGTATCACAGTCATTGGTTTGAAGGGTTAATGTCAAAAATGATTCGCCATGGCGTCCTTAATTTACTTATTTACAATAAGCTGTTAATGTTAAATAAGATAAAAAGGATTTTCTTTGGTGTTAAACAAAATTTAATGCCAGAAAAGTCTCGTAAGTATACTATAAAAATATTATACCAATATGGAAAATATTATTTTACTAGTATGCTTTTTAAAGTAGCCAACCTATAGGTATATATAAAATCAAAATTTTGGGTGGGGTAAAGTACCTCATTACAGCACCGAAAGCGGTGTTACAATGAAGCCATTATGAACGCAAAATAGTTCAAAAAAATTACAAACCCTGGTTTTCTACAAAAAAATATGTTAAAATTTTACAAAATAAAATGAACAAACTACAAACTCATATTAACAAATCTGATTTTTATAACAGTGCATCAGTTTTTGATACGAAACTTCGTATCATGGCGATACAAACGAATGCTAAAGAACTAAGGCTGTGGGAATCTAAAAGTAACTTGTCTAGTAAAATAAACTTAATATTTACAATGACAGTTAGTGGTCAAAACACGATTGGCTACACATGCAAATTAAAAATCATAAACATGTCAATAAACAACTTAAACCTGTCACATGTTAGCAAGGTTTTGAAATCAGTAATTCTAAAATATTTTTGACTCTAACGAATCCATTTTTTCACTATCGGGTCAGGTTTTAAAGATAGATAATTATCTATAATTAAATTATAATTTACAATTAGCAATACAACTAGTTGTCACTTTATTAAAAAACAGATATGGAGCGCCATGAAAATGTATCTTGATACACTTGTTCGAAACTTAACACTTTTAACTATAATCAAGTGCCAAAAGTGTTGGATGTTTATTTTTAATTAAAGGAAGCCACAATATTTAATCCCGAGTTATTTTTAATTTCTAAAGGCAATAAAATATTAAATATAGAAAAACAACTGATACCTATAATTTAATTTGGCAGTCAAAACAAATGCTAGTAAATAGAACGGATGAAATTTTTGTTGAAGTTTCTCAAAAATGGCGCATGCAATCAAAATATTAACAAGTGCTTCGGTTTTAGCAATTATAACTAACAACAACAATTATTCAACGCAATCTTCAAATCTGTTCTTGAACCACACCCGTTCGTTCCAATAGCTCTAGTAAATAAAAAATGTGCTGTTAAAGACCGTATTTTTGTTAGTATACCCTGAAAATTTTGTACAAATCAAATGAACAGCAACGAAGATACAGCGATTCAAAGTCGTCAAAAATGACCACTTTTCAGCAAAATAATCAAAAAGGGGCCATGTTTACATCTTCGTTACTGTTCGTTTAATTTGTACCAAGTTTTCAGGGTACACTAACAAAAATACGGTCTTT